GCAACCAAACCAAAATATTTCAATTACAATTTATAATCAAAACGCGATATTTAGAGTTTATTAAAATCGCGAACCGGAATGACTGATTCATGTTCCGAACTGAAAAAATAAAATACATTTATTGTTGAATTTAACTATTTTAAAATAAAAAATAAAATTTTAAAATAAAGACGGTTCAAAATCGCGAACTGGATTCGGAACCACCGGTTCACGATTCATGATCTAGTTTTTTTGTTTTTTATTCTTAAATTTAATAAATTAAAATCCAAATATTGGGTTCTAGATCTGAATCATAACTGAAAAATTTTAATTCGATTGTTATAGTGTCTTGTTCAGTTCGAACCGAACCGTGGTAATCGCTACATATACGCAATAATTTGTTGGAGAAGTGAAATAAATAAAATGTTTACTTTAAGGGTAGAAATGTCAATTTAATATATTTGGGGGAAAAACCACCACTTTTAAAATAATTGAGGGGACTAATGTGCTTACATAAATAATTAAGGGGGAAGAAGTGCTATAAGTATATAATTTAGTGAGAAAAAGTGCAATTTTCCCTTTTAAAAAATAAAAAACGGAAACTAATTAAAGACACAAGACAATCAGCACCGTGCAGTCACTTAAATATAGGGCCGAGAATGTTAAGTCCATATTTTAAAAAAGGTTCTCATATGTTTCAAAAAAACATGAATCGTCGGATTTATTTTTGGAAAAAAGTGACAAATAGGTCACTGAATTTTTACACATTGTACAATTGAATTGAACAAAAAAAAAATGTGCAACTAGACCATTAAACATTCAAAATTTGTGCAAATATCATTTTTTTACAGGTTACTTCCAAATTTCCCATAAATATGATGTCATAATGTAAAATTATATATAAAAAATTATTTTAATTATTATTTTTCAAAATTAAAAGAAAAATAATAATTTTTTAAAAATAAATAATAGCATTGAAATGTAACAGTTAACTATAACAAATGCCACAGTATATGATCTTACCTATATGGTTAAAGGTACTAAAGACCTCTTCCCTTTTCGTTCGTTAATCAGAATGCCTACCAGCTTAGGTGAAGTTTTAATTTGTTTTTCGTCACCTAACTATATTTACTAAACATATTTTTTTTTTCACTAAAGTGTCTAGTGCCCATTTAACTTCAACCATAGAGGTAACATATATTCGTTAATCAAAACGGGCATATATTCGTTAATCAAAACGGGTCCGGTCAAGTGTTTCAGAATGCCTGCCAGATTCCTGAAACATCATAGAATGAATAAGTATATATTCTCCTGAAGTATTTTGGCGTGATACCCGGTTAATTATATGACAAAGGTCGAGCTTCATTAATCCCATTCCAAATATAGCAACTCGCCTAATCAACTCACCAAGCCTACCTTCAGCTATATATATAATTAAAAAAAATATATATGATGTCATAATGTAATTTTTTAAAGAAAACAATTATTATGGAAAAAAAAATTATATATAAGATTTTTTTTAATTTAAAAAAAATTATAATTTGAATTGAAATTTAAAATTCAGAAGAAGGTGGAAATTTTAAATTTTAAAATTTAAAATTATTGTCGTTAAGTTTTAATTCTAATTTTGATTTTATGAATTAGAGATTTTGGGTTTGAATTTTAATTTTTAATTATTAAATTATTAGTTTTTAATATATATATATATATATATATATATATATATATATATATATATATAATATGTAAATTATAAAAACTATGCCATTTTAGATTAATGATTAAAATAAATATACCTCCCAAATATTTGAGAAAATTAATTATTTAATTATTTATCACATTTGTGTATGATCAAAATCTTCTTTTATTTAATATTCACACAAATTTTAATTATTATTTTTAAGATTGCGTATAACCAGTGAAAATTGTTAAACGCTCGAACCCAAGAATCCATTTAAAAAAAATATTCTAAACACATCGGTTAAGTGAATTGTTTTATACACATACACACTAGTTAAAATGCGTAAATTGCGCGATTAAATTAATATCTAACACAAAAGTTAAAATAGGTAAATGTTTAGTAATCTTTAAAATATTAAATAATTAATAATTAATATAAAATAAAAATGATTATTTTCGATATAATCAAAATGAGTATTTTTAACTTGTAGTAAAAGTAGTAGTAAAGAAATAATGTCCTAACAAATTTTTTATATTAAAATAAATTAAAGCTTCTTAAAGCAATATTGATTAGACAATAAAACTTAAATTATTTTTTGTTAAAATTGACATTATTATAATAAGTTTACTGATGTTGTAAAATAGTGATTAAAAAGTTATGCAATTTAGTTTTAACATATGAATTCATACGCAAATTAAAATCTTCTATCGAATTTTGAAAATCTCCCAAATTTAATACCACACCTGGTATAAAATTCGACCATTAAATATTTTTGAGACGAAAAAAACGATCGTCGCAAGTTCCGTCGTCAACGTCAAATCTCTCTTTGTGCCAAACATCACACCATAATTAATTTTCATTGCCATAGCGCAACGGACATGTAAGGTGTCGCATTTTCTGTCGCCAATGTGTCAACATATTGCGACGGAATTGATTTTGTCGTCCCATTCTATAGCAAAAATAAACTTTTCTTAAAAAATTAAATATTTTTGCGGCGGAAAGAACGATCATCGCAAGTTCCGTCGCCAACCTCAAACGCCAAATCTCTCTTTGGGCCAAACATCACAACATAATTAATTTTCGTTGCCAATACCATTGTCATATCGCGACAGACATGTAGGGAGTCGCATTTCTGTCGCCAATATGTCAACATTTTGAGATGAAATTGAATCCGTTGTCCCATTCTGCAGCGAAAATAAACTTTACTTAAAAATAAAATATTTTCACGACGGAAAAAATAATCGTCGCAATTTCCGTCGTAACCCTCCGTCGTCAATTTATTGGCAAAAAGATTACATGGGAGTGTTTTCCACTTTGCACTAAATATCGCAACGGAATTCATTATCGTCGCCGATTATGTCGCAACATCGCGACAGAAATTATCGATTGTTGTCATTTCTGTCGCCACTGTGGGCACGGAACTTAATTCCATCGCAAAATCCGTCAACAAAATGTGGGCGCCAATGTTTCCCGAGTTTTTACTCACTTTGCGCCAAAAATCGCTACGGAATTGAATTTCGTCACCATTTCCGTCGCAAAATTGCAACGGAACACATTCCGTCACAAAAACTGTTGCAAATCGGCAACGAATTACGTTCTGTCGCAATGTTTCCGTCCTGATTCGCGATTTTTCTTGTAGTGGTGTTTGTAAATTTTTTTATGATTTAATAAAAAATGATCATCTCTTCATGGACAAACACTACGAATTTAAATGAGCTAAAAACAATTATGCTCTCCTACAGTTTTATTCTTCCGATTTCCTGGTACATGGTCTACTATATTACTTGCTTTACAAAGAAACAGAGTCACAGACTAGATGTAAATACCTAGACATGTCAAACTCAAAAATCAGGTACGTCAAGAGTTGCCATGGTGTGCTATGCCTGATTGTTGACGAGGGTTATTCAAGCGTCGATGGGCATGATACAAATAGAATGCTTTCTACGGGCATGATTTTTGATGTTTTCGCATTGAATTCATCCACTAGGGAAATAAAGGCCTTACCTTCGATTAAGGTGCCTAACAAACCACCCAACAAGCCAACTATACGTATAGGGTTTGGATTTGGGCTGTCTAAAACCATGGGCTGGAAGATCATAATGCTTTTGAAATTTGAATGCAATGGGCTGGAAGATCATAGCAAAGATAGTTATGAAATTGCAATGGTTTGTAGCCAAGTAGAGGATTCGTGAGAGTGGAGGCAAATAGATGCAGTTCCACACTGCCCTAAACGTTTTCCTTACCTAAATTACCGTCGGAACTGCTATTTAAAAGGAAAATATTATTGGTTGTGTTTGAACGATCATTTGATTTGGTTTGACATGGATGATGAGGTTTTCGATAAGATTAAGATTCCATAAGAATTGAATACTAATTTCATTAGGATTATAAATGATTCTATTGCTGTAATTAGTTATCCATTTCCATCTGGGGAGGTTGATGATCATTTCATCAATATTTGGTTAATGGATGGAGATAATAATAATAATAATAATATTAATTGGCGAAAACATTCAAGTATACACTGTGACATAACTGATCATGACTTTTGGACCCCGGTAGGAATGAGCCAATTGCTAGTGTGTTCAAGTGATTATACGGAATTAAGGTATGATGAGATTGCAGAAGAGAATGTGCCTTTTTTCAAGGTTGGTTATGGACCAGATCTAATTTTTATTAATTTGGTAACTTAAGAAAAGAAGATTATTTGTGCAAGTGAAGTGAAGAAGAGTCCAATTAATATTGGTCTGAATCCAGGTGGGAATGCTCAAATTTTCAGTGAGAGGAATATTAATAAAGATGAAGAATGGGATGATAGTAATATTGTTTGGGATGATTTGGAACACAATCCATATGCTCGATATTTTCATGAGAGCTTGAAATTTCTTTAAGAACAAAAAATGTGTTTATGTTTCCCCATCTTCTTTGGAATGTTATTTCACATGATTTAATGAATTAATTCCCTTTTGTTAAAAAATATATATATTTTTCTTTGTGCTCTTGTGGTGCAAGGATGTATGCTTTTGCTTTTTCCTTCACTTCTACTGATCTTTATAATAAACTTTTGTTTGTTTTTTGGTTTTTTTTTTTTTTTGTTTTTTTTTTAGGATAAAAACTTAATTCATTAAATCATGAACCAGAAAAATAGGGGGCATCTAGCGACTCCCGGCAACCTGACTCAGAAACGGCCTCTCTAGCAACAAAGTGGGCGGCGCGATTCGCAGATTGCTTGACAAAACGAAAATCAATATCCATAATAGATGATGCTAATTCTTTTAAATCACCTACGACTAAACCGAAAGCAGAAAAAAAATGGAGCGCTAGAAAGTGCATTAAACAGTAGTTGTGAATCTGTCTCGAGATCCACAAAATCCAAACTGGTATTTTTGAACCAACTCAGAGCTTCCCGCATGCTTAGCTTCAGCCACCTTAACATCATAAATTCCAGGCACACATATATTCTTCGCTGCTAGGAACACTCCATGATCATCCCTAACCACCCATCCAAGGCCCATTGTGTTATTTGTATGGTTTAATGCAACATCAGTTCATCTTTAAGCGCCCTGGTCGCGGCATCCTCCACCGCTCAATATGTCTCGCGGCAACCAACACAGCAACAGACTCATTGGCTGCAATCCAATTATCTAGAAACAAAAGAGCATGGCGCACCATCAGGTTTAAATCAAAAGCAGCACCCTTCCAAACACAAGCATTCCGGCTACACCAAATCCCCCAGCAAACCATCAAGAATTTGGGAACCTGTTCAGCCTATAACATAGAAAGAATGCCAAAAAACCAATCATTGACTACATTACCCGGCACATGTGCAATAGATATGCCAATAGCTCTGTAACGACTGTAAGCTCGCAATTGCCTCCGGACAAGCTGCAAAAATATGTGAAGCACTCTCCTCTTCTTGCCTGCACATATGGCACATCAAATTACATTCAATATGCTTCTTTCGAAGGGCATCCCAGATTGGTAAAAAAGACGATGCCAATTGCCACCCAAAGGTTTTAACCTTTGGAGGTACAATGGTATTCCATAAAAGCCTCCATAGCCGATCATCATGCAGCATGCTCACTTGTCGTCTGTAACTAGACTTCACAGTGTATGCCCCTTTATGATCCCAATGCCAAACCCAAGAATCATGGGGTTTAGGAACACTAATTGGGATTTTCAGAATTAATTCTGCATCACGGTCATTAGAAATATCTTTTACACAATCCCTATCCCACGACATACCTTGCTCATTTAGTAATGATGACACGGGAGCATTTGCAATCGACGAGTGCACCTCAGTTTGTCATAATAAACTTTTGTTTTAGGGCTTGGTTGTTTTTCTTTCTTGAAATGTAGTTGCGTAATGCAATATATTTTGATATATTATCTAAATTGTTAGGACAAATCTGTGTTCTCCAACACCTTCAAAATGGAATTATTGCCTCATAGTGACTAGTGAGGTATGTAACATATTTTTATAATTAAAATTTCTCTCAATCATTAACTCCTTTTACACAATTCGTCTAACCACACCCCTATTATTATACTTGTGATTCTTTTACATCAAACTTCCAAACTTAATACATCATTTGATTTACAGAAATATTTGCCATTGCTATTCAAAAGTATGCTCTAGGTGAAGCTCACATTCTGATTCTAATATGCAAATTAAAGTTCTACAATTTAGATTGACTTAGCTTATCCATAACTAACTGTCTCAAGTCAAGAAGGAAAATAAAATACTCTCATTGAGATTTGTACTTTAGAGCTTGTAATTACTAAACACAAGTATATGATAACTCCTATAATCCCATATTTATTCAACTTGTGAACCAGACAGTAGAGTAGCATAGTATTCGTATTCTATTCCTTTCTTATTCTATTCATGCTGGAATTTTATTATACTCTTTATATTTTATTCTCTGAATCAAACGCGACGTAACCATAAATACTCGATTACTATTGAAAGACATGGTTATTACTATATATACTATCACTTCTCGACTATAAATGATCATATATGTATGGTCAAGGACAAGGGGATTATTTTCATCTACATAAAAATAACCTTCGCACCCTTAAAACCTCTAAACTTCCCTAAACTCCATGGAAATATTCTAAGCCCAAATGCACATAATATTCACCTTACAATTTTCACGTAAAAAAAACTATGTCAATTTATTTTCTCGCAATTTGTTTATATTTTATTATCAGATTCATGTTGGATCAACTTCTATAAAACCAACCGAGAGAGAGAGAATTGAAACTAACTAAACTTTATGTTAAATTTATTGAAAATCAAATTTTATTGGTGAATTTGATCACAAGTTGTTGAAAATCACAATCATTATTTCAATTTAAAAAAATAATGAATTATTTGTACTAGTCAATATGGTACATTTTATAAATACTTTTAATATTGTAAGTGTAAAATGTTACACATTTAAAACCCACTTAAGTTGGCTTAAATTAGTTGTCAAAATGGTCCAGTGTCTGTGTCAGGTTGAGTCGGATCAGCGCCTACTCCAGTCCAGTGTCAGCACTAGGATGCAGTCCAGGATCAGCTCCAGGAAGTAATCCAGAAGAAGTGAAACTCATTCAAACATTTATTTTGGTCAAGACCCTACTTCCATGACTTTTTAAATCAGGAGATGCAGCTTAATTTGAGAAATTGAAGGCTGCATTTTTTCATACCAAAGAGGTTTCATACATCACTATAAAATGCTACTTTGTTAAGCATTAAAGTTGAAGATTCAAGGATTAAAATTATACATATCATACCTCAAATCCTACACTAGGTTTTCTATAAATACATTCGTGTGTTGAAGGTCTCTCAACTGGTTCAAGTTGTGATGAAGATAGCCTTCATGTCAAGTCCATGGTGACGCTGGAGTAGTCGCTGGATCGGAGTAGTGCGCTGCGCTGGAGTAGTGTAGTTTATGCTTTAGTGTGTAATGTACTCCCCCTTGTACTCCTAGTTGATCATCTAGTGGATTGGGCTGGCATGAGTGGCCCCGCAGACATAGGAGTGAGGCTCCGAACTGCGTGAACATTTTCTGGTGCACGGTTCCATTTGCTTTTATATTTAATTTCTTTATTCTGGCTGGAGTAGATCCTAGAGCTAGTCCAACTTAATAATTGAATTAAAATTTAGTATGAACCTTTAGGTTATATCTTGCATTCAAGATCCACGAGCATTTTTCAATTGGTATCAGAGCCCGGGGACTTAAAATATTAGTCTAATCGATCTGGCTTACTCATGTTTCTTGAACACAAGATCTCGGTTTTTGTTCTTGATTCTTCTTTAGCTTACTGTGCATTGAGTTTTGCAGAATGGAACGACATAGAGAACCTCCTGAATTAACAGGTGACAACTATGCATACTGGAAAGCTCGTACCAAAATGCACCTACGAGCTCATGGGGAGATGATCTGGAGGGCAGTTCCCACTGGATGGACTCATCCTACCAAAGATGGAGCCACTACAGGAGCCCCTCTAGTTCTCAAACCAGAAACAGAATGGACAATTGCTGAGATGACTACTGCGAACTACAACAATAAAGTCTTAGATATTATTTATTCCTTAATGCATGAGAGTCAGTTTACCCTTATTACAGGTTGTGACTCTGCCAAAGACGTTTGGGAGATTTTGGAAACTACCTATGAAGGAACTAACTCAGTCAAGCAGTCCAAACTCCAAATGGTTTAATCTGACTTTGAAGTTCTAAAAATGGCAGAAGACGAATCAATAGTTGATTTCCATGCCCATGTTCAGGAACTAGCAAATCGTGCAACCGTTCCAGGCGAACCTTTCTCCCAACCTAAACTAGTCAAGAAGATTCTTCGTTCACTCCCTCAACGTTTCAGGATAAAGGTAACGGCGATTCAAGAACATGACAGGTGGGACGATAAAAATGTAGCTCAATTAATGGGAAACTTGCAAACCTATGAGATGGAAATATTCTCTAACCACACTAAAAAGAAGAAAAGCATTGCCTTTATAGCTGAAGAACATGAGTCAGTATTTGATCTAGAAGAGGTAAATGTTGATCTCGTTGAATTTTTAATTAACCAACTTTCGAAGCTTTTGAAACAGGTGAAACAGATGAACAACTCTCGAAATAGAAAGTTTCAAAACTAGAAGGGATCAACATCAAATGCATCACGTAACAGCCAAAACACTGGATCATCTAATTTTCATCCATCACGAAACTCTCAATCCAGGGATAAATCAAGTGCAAAAGGCATTAGGTGTTACGAATGTGAAGGTTTCGGCCATGTTCGAGCAGAATGCACAACATACCTAAGGCGTAAGAAGTCGATGTAGGCAGCTCTAACCTGGAGTGACGATGACGAACTTGAACCTGATCCTGATCTAGGATCTAATCCAGAAGAGATCTCCCGTAACCTTGTGGCATTCACTGCAATAGCCAACATGGAGTCTGACCTAGAAGCTGAAGTAGACTCAGAAGCTGGAGAATATGTGTCGGCTGAAGACCATGATTTACCAGTTCCCTCATTTGAAGTACAATATAAAAAGTTGTATGCAAAATAGGAAATTCTTGTAAAAGTAAATAGATCTTTGTCGAGTCAAGTCAGTAATCTAGAGAATGCTAGGAAAGTGTATAAAAATCAAATTACTGACAGGGACAACATCATCAAAGACGGGCTCAAACGTGAATTGAAGAAGAACTCAAACAAGAGTTGGACATGCTCAAAAAGAGAATTAAAATGATGAACAACACTTCCACCGTCGACCAAATCTTGGATTCTGGAAGGACAACATCTACCATGTATGGTTTAGGTTTTTCTAGCGGAAAAGACAAGGCTGTGACAGTTTTGTAAAAGCTTCTGACTCTGACTCAGCACCTGGACCAGTTTCGGATACTCCAGAAACTAGTACAGCGCGGGAAAGGATTGGTAATGTAAGGCGTGACAATCCAAAATTTAAATTCTATAACCCTATTTGTCATTATTGAAGGGTTCGTGGCCATACCAGACCTGGGTGTTTTTACTTTTATAAAGATCAAAGGCGTGAGAAGTACACCCACAAACACATTGCATCGTTTGTAAAACAAGTGTGGGTTATGAAAGCAGATTTTATATCCCAGTTAACTCCAATCGCATCTCAAGGGAAACTAGCAGAAGACAGAGGAGTTGAATTAGAGAATCTGCAAATACAAGATTGAAGGGTCATCATCGAAATAAAATCAGGTATTTTATAATTCAATAAGTTATGTTTATTTAAAATGTTTTTTTTTTTCTCACTGTTTCAAATCGGGAAGAATTGCTGGCTTAGTCCAGAAAATATTAATCCAAATTCTCCGATTGCTGACTTGGAGAGTTCAAAAAATCTGAAAATTATGGTACCTTTTTCTACTCTCTCCTCTACTAGTGGTGGTATTTGCTCAATACCATTTTCAATTCCTATCTTTTTGTCTTTCTCGTTGCCTTTTGCACTGCACAGTTCTATTTTGTCTAGATTATCTTGTTTTGCCTTCTTTGACTGGTTCTATGTGTTCATTAAATGTCCATCTATGATTTGATTGATTTTGTGTGATTGTACCTTCGAATTTTTTTGCTCCAGTTATAATTGTTGCTAATCCTGTCCAGTCTGGTTCTGTGTCAGTTTCTGCTCCAGAATTCTTTGGTTCTATCTCTGCTTCTATCTCTACTCCAGGAACCTCTGGTCCAGTTTCTATATCTAAATTTTCCTTTGAATTGGTGTTTGAATTTGAAAATGCTATTCTTGTAATGCCATGTGTATTTGTTTCTATGTGTTATGTGTTTTGTCCGGTCATGACCGTGTTTGATTTTGGTTGTGTGCTTTCTGTGCTAAGTGTAATGAATATGTGCCTGAATATGCTTTATATGAATATGTGCCTTAATATGCTTTATATGAATCTATGCCTAAATCTGCTTTACCTGGATGTGACTGGTTTATTTACTAATCTGTTTTGTTTTGTTTGACCTTTTTAAAAAAAAAAAAAAAAAGTTCTTGAACTGTTGTTTTGCTGAGTTGTGTGCAACTTGATGTGCTTTGTTTTGGGTCTCTTATTTCTATTTAGCTTGTGCAGGTTCATATGGCAATTTCTTTCAGACAAAGCAAAAGGAATCTTTCTCTAAGCTATGATGTTTCTTTTTGACGAACAGTTAATGTACTAATTGAGGGGGAGCATACTTATTTGGATTATCCTATTATACGGATTATCTCATCTGGATTATCATATTATTTGGATCATCATACTATTTGGATCATCATATTATTTGGATTATTTCCTTGGATTATCTTGTTGATGGGATTGATTATTTTACCATCTTCGTGGTGAATTCTATTGTGACATGGGTTGAATATGGAGATTATTGATATGGATGATAAGTGATGCATGGATGAGATATGGATATTACTCGTGATAATAGATGATGAATTGGAATCTGCCCCTGCCTTAGATAAATCGGGCACTCCGTCAGATCATAGTCCTACCCACTGATGATCACCTTTGGCCTTTATGGTGATGCTGGAGTAGTCGCTGGATCGGAGTAGTGCGTTGCACTGGAGTAGTGTAGTTTATGCTTTAGTGTGTAATGTACTCCCCCTTGTACACATAGTTGATCATCTAGTGGATTGGGCTGACGTGAGTGGCCCCACAGACGTAGGTGTGAGGCTCCGAACTGCGTGAACATTTCCTGGTGCACGGGGTTCCATTTATTGCTTTTATATTTAATTTCTTTATTCTGGCTGGAGTAGATCATCGAGCTAGTCCAACTTAATATTTGAATTAAAATTTAGTAGGAACCTTTAGGTTATATCTTGCATTCAAGATCCATGAGCATTTTTCAAATATAACTATATAAATTTTTTTTACTTATAAGCCCAAGGACCCATGATTTTCACCTTATATTGTTCACTCCGTAATTATATGTGGATTTACTTCCGATTTGGATTGGGTCAAAGTGGGTTCGAGTTTTCCTAAGTGAGACAAAAATATTTATATATTATACGCTCGAAATAAATAATAGATGAATGATCAATTAATTCTCAAAGTATACACATTTAAGTTGAAAGAAATGGAGATGGGAAGGCTTGTAAGAAATCCTTCTCCCACATTGGAAAAGGGATGTACTTTGCACTAGTATATATACAATTTGTTTTTAAAAAAAAAAAATTGAATTTTAAGACATAGAGGTTTTCTCTCGTGCATAGGGGTTGCACTCCTACTTCTCGGCGGATATATTAACAACAATTATATTTTTAAAAAGAATAACTATGAATGAAGTTACATTATACATTTTCCATGCCCCAACCTCATCAATACAACACACAATAAACTTATCAATAAGTATTCTCAAACATTTCTAGGCATCTAATCTCAAGAAATCTAACTTTAACATGCTAAAGTAATAGTTTTGGGAATCCATGGTTTATACCTTTGAGCTTGGCTTTCTCTAGTGTGGATCCCTCTTCTTCTTCAACAGAGATTTCCACCCTCACCTCCTATTTCTCATACAACCAAAATACAAGCAACACCCATCACAAACTTAAACACAGTGAGGGATGAAAGAGATGAAATGGATGGAGGAAAACTTACTGTGATTCTTCCTTCTCTGCTAGCTGACTTCTACAACTTAGGATGAAGGAGGCAAAATGGAGGGATCAAGAGATATCTGATGGAATAGTGTTGTATAAATAGGGTACGAAACCCTAGGTGAGATATTTTGCTGAGAAGGATAGTTTGGTCTTTTGGCTTTTTGAAATTATCAGGTTTCTCATTCAAGGCTAAGCTAGGTAATGAAATAGTTCTAATCAACTTAGGAGATGAAGTAGATTTCTTAAAAGGATGTTTTAAGTAAAAACATTTGACTTGGGTTTTTCAGGTTTCTCTCAGATTGACTTTTTGGGTCAAAACTTGACACATAGATATATCCAATACTTGGGATTTTCGAAATAGGCATGATTTGGTGTAGAATTTATAAGAAAATATAAACTTTAAACTAACCTTCAGCCATAGTAGTTCTTAGTGCTGTCTTGATGTTGCTGTTGTTTGCTGCAATGACTTGGGCAGAGTGTTTCCCACTGGTCTCAGGTACAATAAGATGGTGTATATTTTCTCAGAATGACTGTGTCTTGAGTAGTGGGGGGACCTAACTTTTATAACCTATCTAGCCATCAATATAGGCTTTGTAACAGTTGTAACGGTAACTGTTACAACTGTTACAATTGGCACACCTTAATGGCCATTAAGGCCATAATAACCTTGCACCACAACATGGAAAATGTTACATTCTCCCACTTGGTGCAAGAACAAACTTAAAGAAACAAAATACATGAACTATAGAGATATGTCCTCTGAAAACGAGTAGTATCTACTATAATCACATGCAACTTGTTCTCTAAATACTTTATGTGCTTAACCAAAACTCAATGGATAAACCTTATGTTTATTCCAGGTCCAAAAGATATATATTTTCTCCACAAAATGTGCACAATACAATAACGAGAAAATATCTGAATGCTTTAAGAATTTCATAAAATAACTTTATGTATACAAGTTTTTTACAAAATGGGCGCAAGCCCCATTTTCTCAACAAAATCCCTAAACTTGAATGGTGGCATGCCTTTAGTTAAGGGATCAGCAATCATCAACTCAGTGCTTATATGCTCAATGACCACTTTCTTATCTTTAACACGCTCCCTGATGGCCAAGTACTTGGTGTCGATATGCTTACTTCGACTCCCACTTTTATTGTTCTTAGCTAGGAAGACTGCAGTTGAGTTGTCAGAATAAACCTTTAATGGCTTAGAAATAGAGCCCATAACTCTAAGCCCCAAAATGAAATTCTTAAGCCATACACCTTCATATGTAGCCTCAAAACATGAACGAACTCGGCTTCCATGGTTGAAGTGGTGACAAGAGTTTGTTTAACACTTCTCCATGAAACAGCTCCACCGGCCCTGATAAAATGTTCCCCGAAGTTGATTTTCGAGAATCAACACAACCGGCAAAGTCCAAATCAGAATATCCGACAATGTCCAAAACGTCCATCTGTTTGAACACAAGCTTATAATCCTTGGTACCCTTGAGATGCCTTAAAACCTTCTTTGCAGCTCTCTAGTGGTCTAAACCCGTATCACTTTGATATCGTCTCAGCATTCCAACAACAAAGGCAATGTCCGGCCTAGTACAGACTTGAACATACCCGAGGCACCCGACAACTGAAGCATAAGGAATATTCTTCATGGATTCTCTTTCAAAATTATTCTTTGGACATTGGTCCAAACTGAATTTATCTCCTCTCACTATAGGAGCTGGACTCGGTGAACAATCCTTCATTTGAAATCTTTCTAAGACTTTGTTGATATAGGTTTCCTGTGATAGTCCAGAATACCATGTCTATCCCTATGGATCTTTATGCCAATGACATTATAAGATGCCTCGCCCATATCTTTCATATCAAAGTTCTT